TTGTTTTGTTTTATTTTTGGGTGTGTGTGTGTGTGTGTGTGTGTGTATGTGTGTGTGTTTTGCATGCCCAGTATTTTAAAAATTGTATGTCAAACATGCATAAAAACTAAAGTGTGTTTGGGGCACTTTAAAGTCTAATCTGTCATGCCAGCACTGTTTGACTACTAAAATCTAAAGTGTGTTTGGGGCACTTTAAAGTCTAATCTGTCATGCCAGCACTGTTTGACTACTAAAATCCATGCTGGTTTCACTTTCTCCCAGTAAAAACACTCTCTGCAAGGGCAAAGCATAATTCTCAGTCCATACCCAAAGTTAGCAAATGGCCTCGGGGAAGAAAATGGCTTATAACCTTTAGTTCACTGTGGAGGGGTTTCTCGCCCTCCTGGAATTTCAATTAATCCAGTCTTTATTGTTTCTAAAGTTTTTTGATGTCTTTACAATGTTTTTAAAAATAATTTATGTAGATTTTTTAAATTGTTGTGGTAGGAGCCTTGAGCTACTTCAACCTCTGTATTCTAGCTGGGAGGTAGATGCCTACTTTTGTTGCTTTAACCAGAACTCTATGCTGATTTCTCTCAAATCTGCAATTATAAACTCTCAGCCATGCTACAGTCCTATCCACCAGCTACTTACTATAGAGTTCTCCTTTCCCATAAAATTATCCAAAACAGACTTCTTTTATTCTTTCAATTGCCTTGCCTGACCCATCTTGGCCATTTTTGATTCATTCTTTTCTTTCATTCTCCACTTCAATCCCTGATAGATTTTTTTAAAAAATATTTAAGAAAATAAAAAGGAACACCCTTAAAAAATGATGGGTCTTAACTTGACTCAATATAGTTCAATATTTTCAATTTACAAATGAGAGAATCTCTGTGGAAAGAGGTTAAGTGATTGGCACAAGGTAACAGTTTATCTTGCAGCGAATCAAGAACTTAGGTCTATTTCATTGCTTTTTCTACACTATGCCATAATGCCTCTCTCTGAATAAGGCAATCACAAATCAAGGATGTTCTCTAGGACAACCTTAATTTTAAATATTATGTCCTACTGTCCCCATAAATCACTGAAATATCCTGGATATTCCTACTTGTATCATGAAAAGTTCATTTTTAGCAACTTCAAGTGGAACAAAAATTATTTGTCAGAGTATGTCCTAATTTTTTGTCCTAAAAATATGGTCACTATCTCTTTAACAATATTCTATACAGTTGCTAAAAATAGAAGGATGCCCAGCACAAGACAGGCTTAAGAGTAGTCATTGAACATTCATTACCTCATTTAATCCTTACAACAACCTATGGGTATATAGGTTCTAATATTATAATCATTTTTCCAGTACCAAGAAATTGAGGGTTAGTTTTGCCAAATAAAATGTTGGGTTTTGTTTTTTTTTCTGACCAGTAAGGGGATTGCAACCCTTGGCAGGGTGTTGTCTGCACCATGCTCAGCCAGTGAGCACATGGGCCATCCCTATATAGGATCCGAACCCGTGGCCTCAGCGCTACCAGCACCACACTCTCCCG